CGAAATAAGCCAACTAAAAAAGAGCGTGGAGGAAGCCGAAAAGGTGGGGTACAAGCAAGGTTACAAGGAGGCAGAAGACGCCTATGTCAAACAATGTGACGCCGCGAAGGAGCTGTTTTTTAAGTGCGGCTGGAGGGCGGCTGTGGAGAAGCTCGGTCATGATCAACAGACCGAGGTCTTCGACCCTCCAGCTTACTTTATACCGAAGTCCCTTGCGGAGTATGCAGACGCCTTGCAACAAGAGTTTCTGGAGGACTCAGACTCTGATGACTCCTCTGCTCCTGAAGACATTCCGGTTGTTAGTGCAGACCGACCACTTCGGTTGGAGCCCATGGTAGAGGACCTTCCTATTGAACAGCCAAATGAAACCGTGGTTCCAACCGAAGGCATCCTGGCAACCGAGAGTGAGCTTCCTCTTGAAACCGGTCTTCAAGTTGGTGGTGATGCGGCTTTTGACACCGAAATTGAAGAACTTTTTTCCTGATTTTTTCTCTTTTTTTTTTTTACCTTGTCTTTGTAGCCGGGCTGTGCCCTTCTGTAATGACTTTTTAATGAATGAAAAATTTGCTTCAACTCTTACTCCGGTTGTAATATGTATGCCTGTACTTTGTAATGTCTTCTGTTACTCCAACTGTTATTTCGGTTTTGGCTGGTTAAACTACACTTACTAGCCAACCACTCCTTAGCCGATACAATCACTTCGGCTGAGGAGTACATAGTGTTTAATCCAGCCAATCCAGTTTCAGCCACACCCTTACTTTTGGCTGAAGAGTAACAAGAGTAGATTTATTCCAGCCAACCACTCTTCTGCCTTGCACTTACTTCGGCTGAAGAGTAACAAGTGTTGGTTTATTCCAGCCAACCACTCTTCAGCCATACCCTTACTTCGGCTGAAGAGTAACAAGTGTTGGTTTATTCCAGCCAACCACTCTTCAGCCATGCACTTACTTCGGCTGAAGAGTAACATGTGTTGGTTTATTCCAGCCAACCACTCTTCAGCCATGCACTTTCTTCGGCTGAAGAGTAACAAGAGTTGGTTTATTCCAGCCAGCCTCTAAGTTGGTTTTTCCAGCTAACTTAGAATAAAATGCTTGCATTATACCTAATCTATACTAAGGCTAACTCTTACAAAGAACAACTTGTGTTGAAAAAGAATTGCTTGTTTTAAAAAAGAAATTACATATGTTTGAAAAAGAAAAAGCTAAAAGTAAAATAATTTGAGATTTGCCGTATTCCATGGCCTGGGGATTGCCTTGCCATCCTTGTCTTCCAGGTGGTATGCCCCTTTGCCTGCTAACCCAACCACCTTGTAAGGACCTTCCCAATTTGGCCCTAACTTTCCATCTCCTGGGATCAAAGTGTTTCCCATTACTTTGCACAGTACCCAATCGCCAATCTTGAATTGTCTTGGATGGACCTTTTTGCTGTATTTTCTGATCAGCTCCTGTTGGTATGTGGCGATGTGAACTAGTGCTCTTTTTCTTCTTTCTTCTGCAAGGTCAAGTTCCAATGTTATGGCAACTTCATTCAAGTCTGGGTCAAAATTTTTGCTTCGAATTGTGGGGAGGCCAACTTCCAGTGGGATTACAGCTTCCATTCCGTAGGCTAAGGAAAATGGTGTTTCTCCTGTTGATCGCCGAGGGGTGGTGCGGTAAGCCCATAGAACATGAGGAAGTTCGTCCGCCCACCTGCCTTTTGCCTTCTCTAGCCTTTTCTTAACTCCATCTAAGACGACCTTATTTGACGCTTCTGCTTGACCATTCGCTTGAGGATATGCCGGTGTAGAATTGTAGAACTCTATCTTGTACTCTTCACAAAAGCTTCTGAAGACTCTGCCGTCGAACTGAGTACCATTGTCTGAGATTAGTGCTTTTGGTATGCCAAATCGAGTGATGATATTCTGCCAAACGAACTTCTTCACATCTTTTTCTTTGATTGATGCCAATGCTTCTGCTTCAACCCACTTTGTGAAGTAGTCAGTTACCACTAGCAGAAACTTCCTTTCTCTAGTTGTCTGGGGTAATTGCCCAACAAGATCCATGTCCCATTGGGCAAACGGCCATCGAAAAGGCCATGGGCTAGTTAATGGTAGGAGTTCTCTTGCTGGTTGATGTATTTGGTGCGCGAATTTTTGGCATTTCTCACACTTCTTCACATATTTATCTGAGTCTGCTTGCATATATGGCCACCAATATCCTTGCGAAATAGCCCTGTAAGCGAGCGACCTACCCCCTTGATGACTTCCACACGCTCCTTCGTGTATTTCGAACAAGAATGCTCCTACTTTGCTGGGATGAACGCACTGGAGGTAAGGCCCAAAGAATGACTTCTTGTATAATGCCATAGATGGAGATAGCCAAAATCGCTGCGATTTCGCCCTTATTCTGTTGGCTTCTTTTTTTTCTTCTGGTAGGATGCCGTCTTTTAGGAACAGGATGATGGGATCCATCCACGAAAGGCCTAATTCTGTGCAATATACCTCTTCTGCTTCGGGGTCCTCAATGCTTGGTCTAGGTAGGTAGTCGATTAGTAGTGGATGAGGTATGGAGGAATCTGCCATTGAGGCGAAGCCTGCTAGTTCGTCTGCTCTGCTGTT